TATATATTATATAATATTATATAATATTATATCTTTATTATATTTACTATATTTATTTTATTATTTTATTATATTATTATATTATCATATAATACACAGTCATCAGCTGCAGGATCTTTTATTAAGAGTCCTTCTAAGTCAAGGACAAGGAATACCAAGAACTTTTACAAATCCCATGAATCAAAGAAATGGTCAGAATAATAGTAGATACTAGACTAATAAAAAGAGCACAAAAGCAAGGAAGATGCAGAAAAGGAGCATCTTCTTGACCCCAGAGCTCCACAGCTGGCATTAGGTAAACCATTCTCATTTGTAATTTTTGTTTTTATTTAAAATAAACTAAAATGTGGAAGCTTTCTGTCAGAAGATGATTTAATGCTAAACAGCACGGTATCTTGTTTTAAAATTTATCAAAATTCAGCAGTTTAAGCCACTAGGTAAAAAATGGGATCGTCATCAGTGGCTTAAAAGTGTCTTTTCACATCTGAAATGCATTTAAAACATTATTCTTCTGACAATGAAGGTAAAAAGGTGAAACTAGTGCATCTTGATGAAGATGCATTCTTCATTAGAAGCAAAAAGTACTTTTAATGTCTATTGAATGTTATAACTTTCTTTATATTTTATTTTCAAGAAAACATCAGTGATTGTATTTAGTCAGGTGAAGATTCTAGCATTAAGATTTTTTTTTAATATCTATTTGAAATGGTCTGGTTTATTCCTTACTCTGTAAAAAGACATTTAATAATGCTTCATGAAATGTATTCTTTGTTAATCTATACCCAGCTTTGCTCAAAGTTAAAAAGGTTTGTATTTACAATGGTCCTGGGGGCTAAACTAGGGAAGAATTAACACCTGTAGCTAAATACCTCTTTCAAATTTAGAAGCAAACATGCAGCAAGATAAAAGTCACAGATGTGAGGGCTTGGAATGATGCCTGGTGAGAAAACTCACTTTTAAATAGTGCTATAATAATACAGTGGTGGAGCAGCAGTGCAGATATTGCTTAGAAAAATAAAGCCAAGGAGCATCCTAACAGACCAGGAGAACAAATGTGCTTCTTGCCTCTCAGTTTTAGACCTGTATTTCCCTTTGCTAAAGATTTCAACAGTATTTTTGCCATGAACATCTTCTTTTGTCCATCCTTTCTGTTGCCTTGATTAGGCATTTCTTAAAGAACCTTCTGGCTCCAAAATTTGCAATTTTGAGCAAAATAAACTTTCACCATCGTTACTAACTGTTTAATTTATTCTTTTTCATGGAAATGCCCTTTGGCCTCTCTGAAGATGAGGTTGGGTTTACCAAAGGAACTGTCACAGCAGTCCCAGCTCCAGAGAGAACCCATTAAACCAGGGATGCTCCATCAAAGCATCATCTGCCTTTGGAATCAGCTGAAGATTCAGAGGGAAACTTCAGATAGTGAACAACAAGTGAGTGTAACCAGTGACAGGACAAAGGTAATAAGATGAGGTAATTAACACTATATTAACATGGTTACAGTTCTAAAGATGGGAGGATGGGTGGTGGTTTTTTTTTTTGTTCATTTTGAATAGAGGATACCAGGGGGAAAAACAGGAAAGAGGTATTGGGGTTAAGATGAACATCAATAATGAGTGATTATGGAAGCTAAAGGTGAAAAAATGCAGCCCAGGTGTGAGCATGTTTTCTGCTGTTATTAGAAAAAAGTATTTTCTCTTTAAATCACAGCACTGACTGAATTTTCATAAAGCCTTTGTGCAAGGGATTAAAAAAACTGTGCTGAAATATTTTTTGAATTTTCAATTGTTCCAGGGTTTTACTTTGTTGTATTTTCACCAATATTCTCATATTATTCCAAAACACATCTCTCAGACTTTCTCTTCCTTAATAAGGATTGTGTGGTTTAAACATTAAAACTGCAAAACAACTTTCAATATGTAATTTAATGCAACTTTTTCTTCTTGAGTTTATGGGTAATCAAGCAAAGTTTCAAGGGTCTGTGTCATTCATTTTTATCAATAGGGGTTTGATTCCTAAAATCCAGCAGTAATGGTTTAAAGGTTAATGCATGTAAACTCGTCAATAAGGTTCATTTTAGGATAAATAACTTGGTTGTAAACGGCTTTTAAACTTGATGCATAAGGATAAAAATTCTAGCATGTCTTGAGCTGTGATAAATGTAGGTTTTCATTGCTTGTATTTTTCCAAAGTGCTGCTTTGAGAATCTCTCCACAGAGCCTTTTGCTTTGGCCACACATCGCTCCTTGTGTGCCCTACTGCCAGTTTTCCTTCAGAAACTCTGTTGTATAATTTTTTTCCTTCTAAGCACCTGTACAGCCTGTCTTTCACAAGTGTCCTATCTGTTTGTATTATTTAGAAGTCCAACTTTGCTGCCAATCTCTTCTTGTTTGGCAGTTTAAATAATCCATTTCTGAAGGGTTTAAATAAGCATTTTCTCTTACCCTGGGCATATACAGAAGGCTTTCTACAAAGCCATCTCATTTTCTTCCTTAAAACAGTCTCTGACCACAGTGCTTGGAAAGAAATCAAGAGAAGGCATTTTTTAGGTTTTGATACAGCATGGTTTCATGCTGTCCCTGCTTTGCTTTCTTGCTCACTCCCCCTGTACCCAGACTTTCTCATCACAGAGGCCATCACTCGATATATTGGGCTATCAAAATGCGATAACAAATGTAACAAGGTGGGGTCTTAGGTGAACCAAACCACATGTAGTGAAATCAGTCCCCACATTGTTCCAAAAGCATAAAATGACCCAGTCGAAACCTCAAAGCTGTTGCTCTAAAACATGGATTCAAATTGATTTATGTTTGAAGGATGTCATGACCTCACAAGGAAGCAGGTTAGGTGGATAGTTCAACTAAAGGGAAGATAGTATTCCTGATAGATCCTTTAGTACCTCTCAAAAGTTCTTTTCAAAGATCAAAGGCAGTTTGTGCAAATTTTAGGTGATTGACGATATACATCTGTAGATGGATGAGCTCAGAAGGAGAATTTTTGCCTCAAAAATTGACAAATCCTGCCCTAGAATAATGAGACACTTGAGAAAGGGGATCACCAAAACCCCATGATTTGCTAGGATTCCTTTTTTCTTCATGAGAAATGGGTTTGGACGCACAAGCTGCCTGATGGGGGTTTTGAAAGCTTACACAGGACAAATATGTGCTGCATAGCAATGCCAGATTTATGCAAAGATTTCAGTATGAAGGAAAGAGTTTACCCTTTCCTTCCCATCTAGGACTGGAACTCTCATCTAGGCACCATCAGCTTGCATTGTAATTATTGTATGTTGCTCTTCCTTTCTTGTTTTGTCAAATACCATTAAGGCCTCATCATGGACAAGTTACTGGCTTCTTACACAAACCTTGGACACTTCTCCATGGATTCTGGTCAATCAACACAAGCAGCTTCTTCTGGTCTTCAGAGATGATAAATATCTATATTCTGCTCACACATGGTTTTTACTGCTGAGGTACTGACACTGGGCTTTATCTGCCACTTGTGGGGGCAGGCAGGAATACTGTAAATGTTTCCACTGATTCCTTCTTTAAGAAAGCAGAGATTTCACATGTACACGCAGCAAGGCACATCAAATTCATTGCTGAAGATGGACAAGCTCAGCTGTAACAGTGACAGTTTCACTGGCCTCTTGTGACCATCTCCTTTTCTCTTCGTGCTCTTTATTTCTCTTTCTTATATCACAGCCTCATTAAACTTCAGAATTTTGCAGCAGCAGCCACAGTTCTTTACTATACTATTTGATTATTTTTTATTTTTAAGAATGCATAAATGCAATGCTGAGGAAAACTTCACAATTCTGAGATTTTATTTATACTGATTATTTGAAATTATGTCGTTGTTACAGTCTTTAGTTAATCCTATTTTAAAGGATTTTTATACTCTGAAAAGTATAAAAATAAATTCAAGTTACTCAGCAAATAAAAATGTACAGTAAAAAAATCCTGTATAAATCCTGTATGTAAAAGAGGTTCTGATAATTACTGAATAGCTAATCCATTAATGGTTTAGGTTGGAAGGGGCCTTAAAGATCACCCAGTTCCAGCTCCCTGAAATGGGCACTGACACCTTCCATTATCCCAGGTTGCTCAAAGCCCCATCCAACCTGGCCTGGAAAACTTCCAGGGATGGAGCAGCCACAACTTCTCTGGGCAACGTGTGCCAGGGTATGACCACCCTCCCAGGGAAGAATTTCTCCCCAATTTCTACTCCAAGCCTACCCTCTCACAGTTTGAAGCCATTCCCCCCTGCCCTATCTGTCCATGCCCTGCCAGAAGTCCCTCTCCAGCTCTCTTGTACCCCCTTTAGCTACTAAATAGTAAGAAATACATTGCCTGATGGTTTCTTTGACTGATGGTAGATTTATATGAAGTATCTGTATAAAGTATTTCTTAGCAAATGCATTATTAATGAATTACATGTGGAGAAAATCCATAGTCTGTAAAGAACAATGGGTTTTATTCAGTGATTTGTTGTTATTGTTGCTCAGAAATCAGGAGTAGTTGAGCACCTTCCTTGTCATTTCCTGCTGAAAAATGGGTAAAGAGATCCACACAACATGGAAAATCCATACAGCACTGTGCAATATTCAGGAAAGAATTTGCAGTTCAACCCAGAGTATTAATATAACTGAATAATTGTGTGTACTTACAATTGTGTTTACTTATTTTCCTGAAGTACTGCTGAACATCATCAGCTGGAGGAAGAAATGAAGGAAAGATTCTTCTTTCAGACGCCATTTAGCTTTGAATAAGTGGACCCACTCAGTGGCCAACTCTGATATTGTTTTGAACATGACATGGTAGAGGAAGACTGGTGGTATTTGTGGACTTCTGAAGTCATGACAGTAGAGAAGCCTTTTTATCTGTTCTTGCAAAGCAGGTATAGCCTATTTTCTGCTTCAAATAAACTCCTGATAGATATGATTCTGGCCTTCATTATTCAGGTAAAAATTTGTTGTTTGTACAATTCAAGGGTGTTTTTGTCTTCTCAAAAGTTTTGTTGATTTCAGTTTAGCACAACAGTTATTTCTATTTGGAAAACGAAGTAGGTGCACACCCAATGCCAGGCAGCCACTTCCTCATGTTATCTGATGAAATGCCTGCATTTTACCTTGATGGCTTGCTCAGTGCACGAGTGTAGCATGGGCATAAATACATCCTGCTTTATTGCATTCTCTAATCTATCATCTTGAAAATATTAAGCAACAGAGACAAGTGGCTGATGGAACAGAGAGCTGCTTTGGAGAGGTAATTAGAATTATCCCAACTGCTTACATGTTTCCTTCCACAGTACATTTTAGGGTAGTTTTTCTGCCTGTTCCCCTTTTACATTTTTTTAGAAGACTTTTCACAGTACAAGTCTGTTTTGTGAATCAAAGTCTTTGAATAACCTTAGGTACAGGACTTTTGCTTCTTTTTACATCAATATTAGCTGGAGGTGAACAATTGTCCACAGACAGGTGGGAGAGGTCTGGAAAGATCTGCCAATTTCTGGCTACTCTGAAGGTCTGAAACTTCACAAGAGAGAGCAAATGACAGTGCTCATTAAAAAGGTTACTTTAGATTTGGCACAAAAAGGCAAATGCCTCCGGAATTCTTTTTGTCCTCGGTGTTTCGTTAGCTTTCCTCCCTCCAGGGAAAAAGCCACTGTACTGAAAGCTTTCCCTCCAGCTGGCTGCTGGCCATTAATCCTCTTGTGTTTGCCAGCTCAAGAGTGCTCACCGCTTGTTCTGGGCTTCACTCCTCTCCCAGTTTCCCCTTCCTCTAAGAGCCAACTCTTTTTTTTTGTCCAGCTCTGTATCTTTTGTCAGGACAGAGATCATCAGCATTTGGTGGGAATTTAGGTCAGATAAAGATGAAGTTTTCTTGTAGCCTGTCAACTTACTTTCTCTTTTGTTTTATTGTGTGAGAAACGCTGCATTTGATGTGTATCTCCTCTTGAAATGTAATGTCTCTGTTGGGAAAGGGGAGAAAAATTAATCAGATTCCTTTTTAAATGTTTTATAATTTTTTCCTCCAGTCAGTAGCAGTTGCCAGTTCTTGCTTTCTGCCACCCCATGTGTTGTTAACACAAAATTCACAATTTCAAGAACTAGTTTTATTTTCACTCAAAGACAATCATAATCACAGAAGGAAACTGATGACCTTTCACAATTTTTCTTGTCAGCATTTTTTTTTCCTTTTCAGCTGTTAGAATGCTTTAAAGTCAGGTTTGGTTCTGGGGTCGTTTTTTTTCCTTTGAAAAAACAGGTGCTGCATTCATATTCCCATGTAGTCCATTAAGGGAGTACATTTTTATATAACTATTCAAGCACATAATACATGAGTCTTTTAATTAAACTACCTAAGTGAATATCTTAATGAATTAAATGTAATCATCTTGAAAAGCAATTTTGATTCCAGATTTTTATGGTAAGAAATATAATTTAAAGCTATTTTATGATGAAGCTCTTTATTCTTTTTAATAACCCTTTTTAAAAGCATATGGGAAAACACAGTTTGTAACTGAGCTAAACAGGAGTAGAGTAACCTGAAATAATTTAATCCACAAAATTTTATGTGAATATGTGGAGATTTACAAAATTCTCTTAATACTTTAATTTTAAAAATATGCATGGGGTAGTGTTCACAGATTGATTAACTGGTTTTACATTCTGTAATCTAGCCTGTTTCATGCGTACCAACGAGATGAAATATATTGTAAGTAATTGTAATTATAATTGTTTTTTCAGTCATGCTTGAAAACCTTTGAAAAATTTGTAGGTAAAAAATGTAGAAAAGAGCAGTATCAGACCAGAGTAATACATGATGGGGCATGCTTAGTTAAATTGAATTAATTAGGTAAGCCTTACTTCTGCTACAGGTGTGTCACTGGACAATATTTATTTCTTAATAATGTTCCAAATGCATTGCACTTTTAGTAAGAAACTAGACAGAATGGATGCACTACAAAAGCTAAAGTTTAAAGAAATGCATTAAATCATTGTTTCATATAAATAATTAAATTATATAAATTTGAATTTCCTCTTCTTGAGCAGAATTTTGTCTTGGACAATTCAAGCCTCCTGGAGGGGATATATTGCTAGAAAAGAGACCTGAGAGAAGCAGCGGCTCGTAAGATAGGAAATTAAGAAAGCAATTATTTGACAGAAAATTATTTTGTATTTGCTTCCTTGGTCTGTTTCCTTGGGGCAATTGAGCTTCCTTAAACCAGAATGCCTCAATATCAGCTCCCTTTTCACTTATTCCTTCTTATACTAAAGAGGCAGCACTGGAGCCACTCAGCTGTTTTGTCAGTCTGTTCATTCCATCTTTAGAATCAATGCAAAATCCTTCCCTGTAGCACAGAAAAAGAATATGAAGGTGACTGAAGAATGCTGATGTTACACTAAAAGTGCTCTAGCCCTTAAGTTTGGAATAAATTAACCTGTCAGCAGGTTGTGACTGTCCTCAAAAAGCATGACTGGAACAGACAACAGCAACACCTTGATTTTCCTGCTGTTTGAAAGCTGGGGCAGCAGATGTAGGCCTGTTTGCCCAGAAGGCTGCCAGTTTCCCATGGGCCCAAGATGCTGTGCTAAGCCATGAAATAAGGTGTCAGCAACAGGAGGTTGAAAAAGGCTCCTAAATATGCTGAAAGCTGCAGCTGAATATCATTGGTCAAAATTTCTCACACTGAACATCTAGTGGCTACAGCAGGAACCCTCCAAGCTGCCTCCCCTGGGCCAGCTTTGGGGTCTGTGTCTTTGGTACCCAGCTGCCCATAGTTTTAAAATCCAGGGGAGGTTTTCATCCAACACAGTGTCCAGAGAGAGGCCCCAGCTCCAGGAACTCATTCTCACAGGTAACACCTCAGGATTTTACAGGGAACAAAACGGGCACCGCTTCTCCACCTTCCATTAAGAATAAATTTATAAAGTCTTCTCATAACGATGAGACAGATTTGAATAAATTCAGTGCAAGCCATGATTAAAGGACCTGCACTTATTTTTCTTAGTGGCTTTCAAGTGGGAACTGTAGATGAGTTTTCCTGCTGTTTGCTCTGACACTTTTAAGTGTTGGTTAACAAAAACATTAGAGAGTTTTCACAAGGAGCTATCCATTTCCAGACACTAAAATAAAATTTGCTTCTCAAAATTGAACTGTGGTTTTAAAAGGTCACTCCCTAAACATTAGCATAATCAAATGGCATCACAATAGCTTGAAAAAAAAAAACCAACTATTTTTTTAATAACGCTGCTGCCTCTGGAAGAATCACAAAGGTTAAATGTCAAGTTTCATATGCTTAAATAAATATCACAAAATAAAAAACACGGTCTGAAATATTAGTACTAGGAAGGACACATATTGCTTGTTTCAGGATGCTACAGTAGCCCTTATTACACCTGGCATTAAAATTTTTAATAATCTAGATCAAAGGAGATAAGAAAGGTCACTGAAACCAAAGTAGGCTACTTTTTAGCACTCATATACACAGAGAGCAGTGTTGCTTCAGCATGTTAGGTAGTGAATTTCTTTGATCCCACCTATAAATGTCACTCTGTATGTCATTTAATTGTGGTATAGCCTTTTATTGGTGCAATTAAATCTTTTCTAATGCATTACATTATCTCCAGCTCTGCTAAAACCCTGCCATTGTTTAGGAAGCGAGGTAGGTCATTGTGAAATGATGCAGTTGACTTTAGCTTCTTCCTCCCCCCTCCACGTGATTTCTCCCAACGATTTTAATTTAAATCTCACCAAACAATATAATGGTCTTGGAATTTGTTTAGTCGTTTGACTTCCTTTATCACACAGAGATGGTAAACATTCTGTTGCTAACCTGAAGTGGCTCCAAGCAGCAAAACTAGGAGGATATTAAACCAGTAAAAGCTTATCAACTGATTCATTGATACGCTGTAAATTCCAGCCTTTTCATTTTACTTTTGAGGGTTGCCATAAGTCAACACATTAGTAAGCAATTTGCTGACATTGGATCACTTAAAAAGGCTTCCCCGTGGACAAAGTTCACCTCGGCGCTTTGTTTCATCGTTTCATTTTCTCATAGTCTTGTGCTGCTGTACAGATGACTGATGCAGCTTTGCATACCGATGGGGGATGTCACAGTCACTTTATGCCACTCTGTCCAAGCTTTAGGAAGTCTCAGACATAAAATGTACATGGTATGGTGTTTTCAGAAATAAATTCAATTGCTCTGTTTCAGTTATTCTAGGATAAAAAAGTTATTCAGTAATATGTATTAAAACAGGATAGAATTTCATTTTTACATCCTAGAACATGACAATAACAAATTATTAAAAACACTGACTTCCTTTCCATTCATGCTGATAGTTCATGCTGACTTGTCAGGTAAAATTCTGGATTAAATTTCAGTTACATTTCTTTTTCTTCCCAACCTTAGACTTTATTTACTGATTGATGGATAGGAGTTGGGTCAGGTAATACTACAGAAAATCCAGGAGTACCTCAAAGAATATAGTATCTTAGCAGCAGAGGAACTTCATAGATCCCTGTCTCATGCAGGATAAGAGTTTTCCTCTTATTTTTTTACATTTCCAGCTCAAGGACACTCACTTGCTTACAAAACCAGGTCAGGTCTGACACCACTACAAATGAAGACCAAGCATAATTTAGGGCCAGAAATGTTTTCAAATGGATCAACCTTTACTCAATGGTGATCAGAAACCCCAAATCACATAAGAGTTTGATGTAATCTTAACTTATTCTTCCTAAAGCCAGATTTTAATATGAAATCAGTTAGGGCATTTAAAATTGCAATGCAGCGATTCAGTTCTAGAACCCAGCTAACAACAGCCAGGTACAACTTACCAGGGGTTTTATTGATTAAATACATAATCACATTAAAATATTAAAGATATAAGCAGTGTTTCACGAGTCATTCAGAGAGTCACCGGTAGGGATTGTTTGGAGATCACAAAGTGTAAATATTAGAGGAGGCCTGTGGTGGGACTGTTGTTTGTGTTTTTTGTTTTACACATACCACTGAAGGTCAGTGTGAATGTCTGGGTGGGACAGACCGGGATGTTTCTTTCTTTACACCGAGCAGTTGTGAGGGGAAGCACCAGGTTCCCCACCTGCTCTTTGCTACGCAGAATTCTCTCACAGAGTACAGGAGGGGCTGCTGCTTTTCCCATCACTTTGGGATTGAAATACGTCCACAATACAAAGGCTCTCAGGGAACTTCTTTTATGTTACATTGCTAAATCAACATTTACTAAAAAGGAAATTAATCCAATTCTACTGACAAATGGATACATCCTTTCAATATCCTGTTGTGTTAGGGATCATTCGGGAACACAGTGAATCGTAGCAGTTCTCAGCACTGAATCAGACCACAGAATAAAAAGAGTATGAGGTCATGCTAGCAGAAAATTTAGGAAGTTCAAAGCTTATATAAATTCTTAGCGAGTTTTCCACATCATTTGAGGGATTTTTGTGAGATTTGTGCTCTTGATTTGTTTGGGTCTAGAGAATTTCATTTTAGCTACTCTGATCTATGCTATGAAGGGTCACTTTCGCAGTTGGAAGGGAGCAAATGTACTGGTAGAGAAAATGTACCAAAAGAAAAAAAAGTTAAATGAAACGATAGGAAAGTGTTCAGGTGCCATGAGGCTGTCTGACCTTGAGCTCAACCCTTCTGCCACCTCACCTCCCACTTCCCAACCCACACTCCCTGAAGAAATGGCTTCTTTTCCTATCAGTTTTCTCTCACAGGAAATGCATGGAGAGAAAGGCTCACGTTGCCTGGTCACGATACAGATGTCAAAATGCCCCTTAAAACTACTGCACACAGACAAGCCTAAGACTTGTGTGAGTTCCTGCAGAGCTTTCAGATACAGGAGTACATTAGGAGGAAGTGGCCACAGTGAGCTAGGATTGCACTCAGAATGATTAAATTCAAGAAAAGCAATCCTTTTAGATATTTATTTTGTTGAACACCTGTGGGAGCATCTTCAGATACGAAGGCCTTTCTGCAATATTCAGAAACATACTCAAGGCAGTAAGAAGGCATAAAAATCTGTACTGAGGACAACCCCTGAGATGCCTCTTCTCCACTGTCTGTCAAAAAAACCAACTCAAACCGATCAACGCCAAAAAAATATAAAGAAGTACTGAAGACGTGATATAGTGCCAGAGCTCAGGCTTGGAGGTTTTTGTGTCCACTTGAGCTCTGCATTTCTAAAAATACATAAGCATACCCACAGATAGCAAAAAGGATGATAAGACACCTCCATAAAACCGTTGAGGGAATTGTGGGTCACTTCTCATATAGAAAATAAAGGGAAATGTAACCTTTCAGGTGTGGAAAAAGGCACAAGCAGAAAGGTTTGTTTTACTATGGATGTTTGAGAACAAAATTAAAGCTTAAAGCATGACAAGGGCCCTTCACATTTGACATTTCTGAAATCTTGGACAATCAAACACTGGAATATACTGCCTAGAGACAGCACAGCAATCCCATCACAGACAGCCCCTGCCAGGCTGGTTAAATACCAAGAATAACACAGCTATGTTTGATCCTGTGCAGCTGGATGGATCAAACATCTCCAGGTCCCTTCCAGCCACGTGATTCTTGAACTTTAAAAACAGCCTAAACTCTCCTGTGAAATGGAATTTAAAGTCTGAAGCTGTTTAAGTTACAGACAGTTTAGGAAGCATGGTGGTCAGGGGTTTAAGATGCAAAAATTGCCCTTCAGTCAAGCCATTAAGCAATTGAAAATTACTTACAAATTACATAATGAGCATACTTAGCTATAAACAATCCCCACTGGCCTAAAGCAGAGGGTTCAAAATAATTGCACACCTGTCTTAAAAC